TTCAATTGTGCAAGGCTTTTTTAGGCTATTTACTTCCTTGACATCAGATGTCCTGTTTAGCGGGTGTCGTTAAAGGAAATGTTGTTTTATCAATTCCCCATATTGCATCCTCTCGATATGTTTAGTCAATGAATCCTATGAGTTTGTAATATTATTTTTAATTTTCTTCTTTATCATAAGCTTCATTAAATTGCTTCTATTCACATTCTGCCTTTTTTCCATAATCTCTCTACTCGTCAGCTTCTGTTTGGTCTTTCGTGTGTTATATTTCTACCATTATTTCGACTGACTATAGATCTCGACCGACTAGTTGCAAGACTAATTATATACCAGCGAAAGTTCATTCGACACCCGTTTCAGATAGTAAAGCCCGAATGATAGCATCTTCCATTTCATGCCAGGCTTTAGAGCGCTGCTTCTGCTGCGCTTGCACCACCAAGTTGTCCATACGCGTCGTTGTCAGTCCTGTTTAGGCCAGCTTCACGGTCGTTGTGGCCAGGTGTATCCCTGAGACAGTATTGGCGTGTGTGTATCTGTGTGTGTGTGTCACTGTGTGTGTGTGTGTGTGTGTGTTTGTGTGTGTGTTTGTGTGTGTGTACGCAGGTGATAGGTGGAGAGGTCTTGAGGTTGGGGTGAATGTGTGTTCATGCCGACGCCGGTTTGGCCAAGAGACGAGTGTACTCAGGATGGGTCAGACGGTCGGCCCGTGGTCTCGAGCCCCGCGAGGAGGTATCATCAACCCACCTGAAGTCCTCGCCTCTCTTCCGCGTATCGACAAATTGTGGCCGACACAGCGACACTGGGGTTGTCGGAATGGATACAGACTAACGTGCACGGCGACAGATGCAGACACGCATTTGCAGACTGGCCTGATGATGGACAGAGCAAGCCACAAACCGAATGACTAACGTACAAACAGGATGCGCACACACGCAAGTAGACAGCCGGTAGACAGACAAGCGGTCGGATAGACTGTCACTGATAAACAGACAGAAGTGGACGAGCAGGTAGCTAAAAGTGTAAGCAGATAACAAAACTAGCCTACATGATACAGACGAAGCAATTGATTGATAGACCGCCATAGATACAGATAGTCCGAGTGACTAACAAACTGGCTCATAGAATGAGGAACAGACGCACAGACGGACAGTTAAAGAGGCGATTGGGGCTAAGAGGGTTCTAAAACAATTGTTTTCTTGCTCCGATATCGTTTGGCCAGCCATTAGCTTCCGTTTTTCCCCAGTGGCAAACATTCGCGCACACCTTCACACACAAATACACACACACACACAGACACAGAAGAGTACCTTATATGCCGGGCTGTTGGCCAGCTCGATGGGGATAGGAGGTTGTCCTGTCTCCCCAAATCCTTGCCCCCGGTGAGGCGATGTCAGTACAATCATAATGGCAATTTTGGCAGATTCGGTACTTTTTGGATTGCCGCAAGACAGTCTGGACGAGAAAGGAATGCAGATTCGACGTTGTCGAGGTAGAAAGAGGAAGCTTAGAACCAAGTGGTTAGTCACAATGACAGAGATTCTCACCTGGAAACCCGAACTGGTCTGCACTGCCTCGGCAACTTGGCCCGAAGGTGGTCATGTGAAGCGAAGGCCCTCGAGAAGACAGTCTTTCGAGAGCCGGCTAGTTTGTGATGCCGTTTCTGAGAGGCCTCACACACGCGGATTCGCGCTCTCAGACCTTCCTTCATGTACCTGATGCCAGCTGTTGTCTTGTGATTTCTCGCGAGATGTATTCATCCTATTTCGGCGAAGGTGATCAAAGGAGTTGTGGCTGCATTTTCCACAATTTTACATTTAATCCCCAAAGCGTATTCTCGTCCAGACTCGAATTAAGCTCAATTTTGACCCCGTCCACGCTTTTTCGACAATCTCAGCGGGACTCGAACCATGACTGGGCAGTATTTCATCTCGACACGTCAACCATTACGCCACACTGCCGCGACTGTTCTTGTGTCGCAGGCGAGATGTGCATTTCAAGATAGGGATTGTTGAGGAAGCAAAGTTGAGTTTGCCATAATAATCGACTATATAACTTATTGAATTGTACGACCTTGTTTTCGCAACTTGATCATGTTGGTAGGAAGACTTAGAGGAATTCACCTATTCCGAAGTCCATTTCATGCATCATCATGTACAAAGTAGGAACGCGGACGTGGTACATTCCCCGAAGTTTCGCCGGCATCGTCAGTGAGTCTGGCCATTCTTAGCATCACCCAACAACTCGTCAAAGAGGTCGAAAGATAGGCTTCACTTGTCTTTTTGACAAGTTGTTGTATGGTGCTAAGAATGGCGAGAGTCACAGAAGATCCTGGCGAAACGTCTGGGAATGTACCACGTCCACGGTCCGACTCTGGAAAGGATGATGCACGCAATTTTCACGCTACATGCATTCTACAAAGTACCGTTGACGGCAGTCTTTCGGTACGAAACACCTTGAAATTGAGCGACAATTTGGCCCGGAATCGGACTGAGGGTTCTGCTGAGACGATGAGGCGAAGTTGAGGCTATGGTCCAGCTGGAGCGTGGTTTGGGATAAACAGCAAAAAGAACTTGACTGCAAAACTCAAGCCTTCCCTTCACTTCAGCCTCACCAAAAAAGAAGATGCCTCATTTTTTATTTATAAGTAGGCTTTCAAGACTATCAGTAGATGACCATAAATAAAATGAATACACATATTTATTTATTTATTTATTTATTTTTAAATGAAAAATAAGTTCTATAGGTTTGAAGAGCAAGAGGGTGTGGCCTCTTGCGTGGTCGCAGTCGCCTTTCGTTGTATAGAAGTTGTTTTTCCGTTTTTTCGCAACTTGGTCGTTGTCTGCATGATCATTTCCAGAGTAGGACCGTGGACGTGGTACATTTCCAGACGTTTGGCTGGCATCGTAGTCGAAATCGTCAATGAGTCCCGCCATTCGTAGCACCAGACAACAACTCGTCAAAGAGACAAGTGAAGCCGATCCTTTGACCAAACTTGTGCTAAACGATTGTGGTATC